ATTATTATTATTATTAGTAGTAGTAGTAGTAATAGAAGAAGAAGAAGAAGAAGAAGAAGAAAGAAGAAGAAAAACGAGGAGGAAATGAAGAGAATAAGAAAGAAGAAAAATTAGAAGCAGCAGCAGTATTATTATTATTATTATTAGTAGTAGTAATAGTAGAAAAGAGAAGAAGAAGAAGAAGAAGAAATGAAGAAGAAGAAACGAGGAGGAATGAAGAGAATATGAAAGAAGAAAAAGAAAGAAGAAGAAACGAGGAGCAGAAGAGAATATTATTATTATTATTAGTAGTAGCAGTAGTATTATTAAAAAGAAGAAGAAGAAGAAGAAGAAGAAAGAAGAAGAAACGAGGAGGAATGAAGAGAATATGAAAGAAGAAAAATTAGAAGCAGCAGCAGCAGTATTATTATTATTATTATTATTAGTAGTAGTAGTAGTAATAGAAGAAGAAGAAGAAGAAGAAGAAGAAAGAAGAAGAAAAGAAAATTAGAGGAAGTATTATTATTATTATTATTAAGAGAATATGAAAAGAAGAAAATTAGAAGCAGCAGCAGCAGCAGTATTATTATTATTATTATTAGTAGAAGTAGTAGTAGTAGAAAAAAAGAAGAAGAAGAAGAAGAAGAAAGAAGAAGAAACGAGGAGGAAATGAAGAGAATATGAAAGAAGAAAAATTAGAAGCAGCAGCAGCAGTATTATTATTATTATTATTATTAGTAGTAGTAGTAGTAAGAAGAAGAAAAGAAGAAGAAGAAGACGAGGAGGAAAGAAGAGAATATGAAGAAGAAACGAGGAGGAAGTGAAGAGAATAAGAAAAGAAAGAAAAAGAAGAAAAACGAGGAGCAGAAGAGAATATGAAAGAAGAAAATTAAGTATTATTATTATTATTATTATTAGTAGTAGTAGTAGTAGTAGAAGAAGAAGAAGAAGAAGAAAGAAGAAGAAACGAGGAGGAAAGAGAATATGAAGAGAAAAAATTAGAAGAAAGAGAGAAGAATTAAGAAAGAAGAAGAAACAGAGGAATGAAGAGAGAAGAATTATTATTATTATTATTATTAATATTAGTAGAAGTAGTAAAGAAGAAGAAGAAGAAGAAGAAGAAGAAAGAAGAAGAAACGAGGAGGAATGAAGAGAATATGAAAGAAGAAAAATTAGAAGAAGCAGGAGCAGCAGAGATTATTATTATTATTAGTAGTAGTAGTAGTAGTAGTAATAGAAAAGAAGAAGAAGAAGAAGAAGAAAGAAGAAGAAACGAGGAAACGGAAATGAAGAGAATAAGAAAAGAAGAAAATTAGAAGCAGCAGTAGCAGTATTATTATTATTATTAGTAGTAGAAGAAGTAGTAATAGAAGAAAAAAGAAGAAGAAGAGAAAGAAGAAGAAAATAGGAGGAGGAATGAAGAGAATATGAAAGAAGAAAAATTAGAAGAAGAAGCAGCAGCAGCATTATTATTATTATTATTAGTAGTAGTAGTAGTAGTAGTAGAAGAAGAAGAAGAAAAGAAGAAGAAGAAGAAGAAAAGAGAAGAAAGAAAAAATTAGAGGAGGAATTATTATTATTAAGAGAAGTAATAGAAAGAAGAAAAGAAGAAGAAAGAAAAGAGAAACGAGGAGGAATGAAGAGAATATGAGAAGAAGAAAAATTAGAAGCAGCAGCAGCATATTATTATTATTATTATTAGTAGTAGTAGTAGTAGTAGAAGAAGAAGAAGAAGAAGAAGAGAATATGAAAGAAGAAGAAACGAGGAGGAATGAAAAAGGAGAATATGAAAGAAGAAAAATTAGAAGCAGCAGCAGCAGAAGAATTATTATTATTATTATTATTAGTAGTAGTAGTAGTAGTAATAAAAGAAGAAAGAAGAAGAAGAAGAAGAAGAAGAAACGAGGAGGAATGAAGAGAATATGAAAGAAGAAAAATTAGAAGCAGCAGCAGCAGTATTATTATTATTATTAGTAGTAGTAGTAGTAGTAATAGAAGAAGAAGAAGAAGAAGAAGAGAAGAAGAAACGAGGAGGAAATGAAGAGAATATGAAAGAAGAAAATTAGAAGCAGCAGCAGCAGTATTATTATTATTATTATTAGTAGTAGTAGTAGTAGTAGTAATAGAAAAAGAAGAAGAAGAAGAAGAAAGAAGAAGAAACGAGGAGGAATGAAGAGAATATGAAAGAAGAAAAATTAGAAGCAGCAGCAGCAGTATTATTATTATTATTATTAGTAGTAGTAGTAGTAGTAGTAATAGAAGAAGAAGAAGAAGAAGAAGAAAGAAGAAGAAACGAGGAGGAATGAAGAGAATATGAAAGAAGAAAAATTAGAAGCAGCAGCAGCAGTATTATTATTATTATTATTAGTAGTAGTAGTAGTAGTAATAGAAGAAGAAGAAAAGAAGAAGAGAAGAAGAAGAAGAAGAAGAAGAGAATGAAAGAAGGAGGAATGAAGAGAATATGAAAGAAGAAAAAGAAGAAGAAAAGAAGAAACGAGGAGTATTATATAAAGAAGAAAATTAGAAGCAGTAGTAGAAGTAGTAGTAAGTAAGAAAAGAAGAAGAAGAAGAAGAAAAGAAGAAAAACGAGGAGGAATGAAGAGAATATGAAAGAAGAAAAATTAGAAGCAGCAGCAGTATTATTATTATTATTATTAGTAGTAGTAGTAGTAGTAAAGAAGAAGAAGAAGAAGAAGAAGAAGAAGAAGAAGAAACGAGGAGGAATGAAGAAATATGAAAGAAGAAAATTAGAAGCAGCAGCAGCAGAATTATTATTATTATTAGTAGTAGTAGTAGTAGTAGTAATAAGAAGAAGAAGAAGAAGAAGAAGAAAAGAAGAAGAAACGAGGAGGAATGAAGAGAATATGAAAGAAGAAAATTAGAAGCAGCAGCAGCAGTATTATTATTATTATTATTATTAGTAGTAGTAGTAGTAGAAATAGAAAAGAAGAAGAAGAAGAAGAAGAAAAGAAGAAGAAACGAGGAGGAATGAAGAGAATATGAAAGAAGAAAATTAGAAGAGAGAAAGAAGCAGTATTATTATTATTAGTAGTAGTAGTAGTAGTAGTAGTAATAGAAGAAGAAGAAGAAGAAAAAAAGAAGAAGAAACGAGGAGGAATGAAGAGAATATGAAAGAAGAAAATTAGAAGCAGCAGCAGCAGCAGTATTATTATTATTATTAGTAGTAGTAGTAGTAGTAAGAAGAAGAAGAAGAAGAAGAAAAAGAAGAAACGAGGAGGAACGAAGAGAATATGAAAGAAGAAGAAGAAAAATTAGAAGCAGCATTATTATTATTATTAGTAGTAGTAGTAGTAGTAGAGGAAGAAGAAGAAGAAGATTAAGAAGAAAGAAGAAGAAACGAGGAGGAATGAAGAGAATATGAAAGAAGAAAAAATTAGGAGAAAAGCAGATTATTATTATTATTATTATTAGTAGTAGTAGAAGAAGAAAAGAAGAAGAAAGAAAAAGAAGAAGAAACGAGGAGGAAATGAAGAGAATATGAAAGAAGAAAATTAGAAGCTAGCAGCAGCAGCAGTATTATTATTATTAGTAGTAGTAGTAGTAGTAGTAATAGAAGAAGAAGAAGAAGAAGAAGAAGAAAGAAGAAGAAACGAGGAGGAAAAAGAGAATATGAAAGAAGAAAAATTAGAAGAAGCAGCAGATTATTATTATTAGTAGTAGTAGTAGTAGAAAGAAGAAGAAGAAGAAGAAGAAGAAAGAAGAAACGAGGAGGAATGAAGAGAATATGAAAGAAGAAAAATTAGTATTATTAGTATTAGTAGTATTATAGTAGTAGTAATAGAAGAAGAAGAAGAAGAAAGAAGAAGAAACGAGGAGGAATGAAGAGAATATGAAAAGAAGAAAAATTAGAAGCAGCAGCAGCATTATTATTATTATTATTAGTAGTAGTAGTAGTAGTAAACAGAAAAAGAAGAAGAAGAAGAAGAAAGAGAAGGAATGAAGAAGAAAATTAGAAGAAACGAGGAGGAAGTGAAGAGAATATGAAAGAAGAAAAATTAGAAACGAGGAGCAGAAGAGAGTATTAAAGATTAAAATTATTATTAGTAGTAGTAGTAGTAGTAAAAAAAGAAGAAGAAGAAGAAGAAGAAAAAGAAGAAGAAACGAGGAGGAATGAAGAGAATATGAAAGAAGAAAATTAGAAGCAGCAGCAGCAGTATTATTATTATTATTATTAGTAGTAGTAGTAGTAGTAGTAAAAAAGAAGAAGAAGAAGAAGAAGAAAGAAGAAGAAACGAGGAGGAATGAAGAGAATTAGAAAAGAAGAAAATTAGAATTATTAGTAGCAGCAGTATTAATATTATTATTAAGAAGATTAGAAGAAGAAATAGTAGTAAGAATATAAAGAAGAAAAATTAGAAAAGAAGAAGAAGAATTAGTAGTAAAGAAAAAGAAAAGAGAAGAAGAAGAAGAAGAAACGATGAAAGAAGAAAATTAAGAAGAAAAGCAGAAGCAGTATTAGCAGTATTATTATTATTATTAGTAGTAGTAGTAGTAGTAAAAGAAGAAGAAGAAGAAGAAGAAGAAAAATATGAAGAAGAAACGAGGAGGAATGAAGAGAATATGAAAGAAGAAAATTAGAAGCAGCAGCAGCAGTATTATTATTATTATTATTATTAGTAGTAGTAGTAGTAGTAGTAATAAAATAAGAAGAAGAAGAAGAAGAAGAAACGAGAAGAAGAAATATGAAACGAGGAGGAATTATGAAGAGAAGTATGAAAGAAGAAAAGAAGAAGAAAAGAAGAAGAAACGAGGAGAAGAAGAGAATTATTATTATTATTATTAGTAGTAGTAGTAGTAGTAGTAGTAGTAGAAGAAGAAGAAGAAGAAGAAGAAGAAGAAAGAAGAAGAAACGAGGAGGAATGAAGAGAATATGAAAGAAGAAAAATTAGAAGCAGCAGCAGCAGTATTATTATTATTATTATTAGTAGTAGTAGTAGTAAAAGGAGAAGAAGAAGAAGAAGAAGAAGAAAGAAGAAGAAACGAGGAGGAATGAAGAGAATATGAAAGAAGAAAAAATTAGAAGTAGTAGTAGCAGCAGCAGCAGTATTATTATTATTATTAGTAGTAGTAGTAAGAAGAAGATTAGAAGAAGAAGAAAAGAAGAAGAAATAAGAGAATAGTAAAAGAAGAAAATTAAAGCAGAGCAGATTATTATTATTAAGAAGTAGTAGAGTAGTAGTAATAAAAAGAAGAAGAAGAAGAAGAAGAAGAAAGAAGAAGAAACGAGGAGGAATGAAGAGAAAGGAAAGAAGAAAAAGAAGAAAATTAGCAGCAGTATTAGGATTATTATTAAAATTATTAGTAGTAGTAGTAGTAATAAAAGAAGAAGAAGAAGAAGAAGAAAGAAGAAGAAACGAGGAGGAATGAAGAGAATATGAAAGAAGAAAAATTAGAAGCAGCAGCAGCAGTATTATTATTATTATTATTAGTAGTAGTAGTAGTAGAAAAGAAGAAGAAGAAGAAGAAGAAGAAACGAAGAAGAAGAAACGAAAGAAGAATGAAGAGAATATGAAAGAAGAAAAATTAGAAGAAGAAGCAGCAGAAGCAAATTATTATTATTATTATTATGAAAGAGTAGTAGTAGTAGTAGTAGTAATTAAAAGAAGAAGAGAAGAAGAAGAAGAAGAAGAGAATATGAAAGAAGAAAAATTAGAAACGAGGAGGAATGAAGAGAAAGAAGAAAAGAAAGAAGAAGAAACGAAAAAATTAAGAGAATATGAAAGAAGAAAATTAGAAGTATTATTATTATTATTATTATTAGTAGTAGTAGTAATAGTAAAGAAGAAGAAGAAGAAGAAGAAGAAAGAAGAAGAAACGAGGAGGAATGAAGAGAATATGAAAGAAGAAAAATTAGAAGCAGCAGCAGCAGTATTATTATTATTATTAGTAGTAGTAGCAGTAGTAATAGAAGAAGAAGAAAGAAGAAGAAACGAGGAGGAATGAAGAGAATATGAAAGAAGAAAAATTAGAAGCAGCAGCAGCAGCATTATTATTATTATTATTAGTAGTAGTAGTAGTAGTAGTAATGAAGAAGAAGAAGAAAGAAGAAGAAACGAGGAGGAATGAAGAGAATATGAAAGAAGAAAAATTAGAAGAAGCAGCAGCAGCAGTATTATTATTATTATAGTAGTAGTAGTAAGAAGAAGAAGAAGAAGAAAGAAGAAGAAAACGAGGAGGAAATGAAGAGAATATGAAAGAAGAAAAATTAGAGCAGCAGCAGCAGTATTATTATTATTATTAGTAGTGTAGTAGTAGTAAAGAAGAAGAATAGAGAAGAAGAAACGGTAAGAAGAAAAGAAGAATAAGAAACGAAAGGAATGAAGAGAATATAAAGAAGAAAAATTAGAAGCAGCAGCAGTATTATTATTATTATTAGTAGTAGTAGTAGTAGTAGTAATAGAAGAAGAAGAAGAAGAAGAAGAAGAAAGAAGAAGAAACGAGGAGGAATGAAGAGAATATGAAAGAAGAAAAATTAGAAGCAGCAGCAGCAGCAGTATTATTATTATTATTAGTATTAGTAGTAGTAGTAGTAATAGAAGAAGAAGAAGAAGAAGAAGAAAGAAGAAGAAACGAGGAGGAATGAAGAGAATATGAAAGAAGAAAAATTAGAAGCAGCAGCAGCAGCAGTATTATTATTATTATTATTAGTAGTAGTAGTAGTAAAAAGAAGAAGAAATAGAAGAAACGAAGGAGAAGAAGAAGAAGAAAATTAGAATTATTAAGAAGAAACGAGGAGGAATGAAGAAGAATATGAAAGAAGAAAAATTAGAAGAAGAAATGAGCAGCAGCAGTATTATTATTATTATTATTATTAGTAGTAGTAGTAGTAATAGAAGAAGAAGAAGAAGAAGAAGAAAAGAAGAAACGAGGAGGAATGAAGAGAATATGAAAGAAGAAAATTAGAAGCAGCAGCAGCAGCAGTATTATTATTATTATTATTAGTAGTAGTAGTAGTAGTAAGAAGAAGAAAGAAGAAGAAACGAAGAAGAAGAAGAAAGAAGAAAGAAGAAGAAACGAGGAGGAATGAAGAAGAATAAGAAAAAGAAGAAAATTAGAAGAGAATAAGAAAGAAGAAAAATTAGAAGCAGTATTATTATTATTATTATTATTAGTAGTAGTAGTAATAGAAGAAAAGAAGAAGAAGAAGAAGAAGAAGAAACGAAGAGGAAGAGAATAGAAAGAAGAAGAAAAGGAAATACAGGAGGAAATTATTATTAGAATATAGAAAGAAGAAAATTAGAAGAAAGAAGAAGAAACGCAGGAGTATTATTAATATTATTAGAAAAAATAGTAGTAGTAGTAGTATTATTTTATTAGTAGTAGTAGAAGAAGAAGAAGAAGAAAGAAGAAAGAAACGAGGAGAGGAATGAGAATATGAAAGAAGAAAAATTAGAAGCAGCAGCAGCAGTATTATTATTATTATTATTATTAGTAGTAGTAGTAGTAATAGAAGAAGAAGAAGAAGAAGAAGAAGAAGAAGAAAGAAGAAGAAACGAGGAGGAATGAAGAGAATATGAAAGAAGAAAAATTAGAAGCAGCAGCAGCAGTATTATTATTATTATTAGTAGTAGTAGTAGTAGTAGTAGAAGAAAAAAGAAGAAGAAGAAGAAGAAAGAATATGAGAAGAAACGAGGAGGAATGAAGAGAATATGAAAGAAGAAAAATTAGAAGCAGCAGCAGCATTATTATTATTATTATTATTAGTAGTTTAGTAGAAGAAGTAGTAGAAGAAGAAGAAGAAGAGAAGAAGAAACCAGGTAGACAGAAGAAGAAGAAGAAGAAGAAGAAGAATAGAAGAAGAAACGAGGAGGAATGAAGAGAATAAGATGAAAGAAGAAAAAATAAAAGAACTATTTGCTTCTATAATGGTAAAAAAAAAAAAAGTTACGATAAGCAGTATTCATATAAATCGATGGCCGAAAAGACGGTCGAGTTGCCGACACCGCAAAGAAAATCAGACGTTTTTGCAACAGTAGTAGTACATAGTTCCTTTTCAGTAGTAGTTGTAGTAAAAGAAGAAACAGATTGACCACGCCCTGAAGAAGAAGAAGAAGAAGAAACTTGAACGCACCTTTCAAAGTCCAGGTAGACAATATTCCCATAACCATCCATAACCAAAAATCAGACGAACTGAAGGAAAATTCTAAAAGGTCCCAGTGGAAAACCTTAAGAAAGAGGAAAGAAAGTTTGGTAAAGGACCAACAATTTGCTATGGAGGCGATGAAGAGAAAGAGAAAACTAGATGAAGGAGAAAAGACGTAGAAAAAGATTTTTAAAAAAACAAAAACAAAAAGTGTTTGTCAATTTTCTATCAGGACTGGTTTAGAAATCCATTTTTTAAAAAAAAAAACTATTTGCCAGAGAACCGAAAACAAAGAGAGTTTAAGGGCTGGTAAAAAAAAATTTTTACTTCATTCAGTCATTCAAATGATTGTTTGTTCAGTTTTTGTTTCGTCGTTTTTTAAATCCATCTTTTATCTTTTTCTTTCATTTTTTCTCAAGTATAAATCGATGGCCGAAAATTCCACTTTCATCACTCGAGTTTCTGCTTTCTTTCAATTGCAAAGAAAATCACAGACGTTTTTGGTGCAATAGGTTTTTGTCTTCCTTTGTTCTCCACATTTTTCTTTTTTTTATTTCCGAGTTTCATCATTTATCTTTTCTTTTCGTCTTCCAGCTTTTCGTGGAGCCGGTTCTTCTTTTTTCTTCTTCATTGGACTGCACGCCCTCACACCAGACTATGGCTTCCGCTTCTTCTTTTCGACATTTTTCTTACTTCTTTAAGCTTGCCTCCACTTGAACGCACCCTTTCAAAGTCACTTCAAGTTGCAATATCCCTACTAACCAAACCCATAACCACTACCCCAATCACTACCCGCCTCTCTCACCAAGATCCTTCTATATATGCGTTGGAGGCGTACAACCAAAGGACCACAACCGTTATGGTAAAGCCCCTTTCGGAGAAGGAGGTCACAATTTTGACCTTGTGACACTTCAGGCACGTTCAGGCTAGGTCCCAGTCTGCCTAAGCAAAACCTTATGAGGGCAGGTGAGGCTGGCGGATTGCGTTAGCAGGAGAAGGCGTAGGTGGTCGTGGTCACGTGACAGCCATTAAAAACATTCACTCAGGACGAAACTTTATTTGGGTGGCGAGATGACGTGTTTGAGGAGGAAGACACGGGGGTAGGCTAAAGATGAGAGTTAGGTCGAGCGTAAAGTGAATGTCAATGATGTGATATCATGGACCGGTCATCGTAATCGCTTTCCGACCAAAGCTGGGTTCCTTTTCTTCAGGCGGGTATGGGTAGAGGCTTTCCAGAGGGGAGGGGAGTCCTGAGAACCCCTTTTCTTTCTTTTTCTTTTAAGGGCTTCCTTCGACAAGGAAGGTCATCGTTTCTTTTTGTCATTTCTTTCATTCAGTCATTCATTTATTCTTTTCTTTTCTTCTTTCGTTTGTTCCATCGTTCTTTCTCTCTTCTTTTTTTTTTATTTTAATCCATCATTTTATCTTTTCTTTCATTTTTTTCTGTCATTCATTGTATGTTTCTTTCTGTTATTCATTTATTTTTATTTCTTTTATTCCTGTCTTTTCCATTCCTTTTCCTGTCTTCCTTTCATTCTTTCTTTCTTTCTTTCTTTTTCTCAGTCTTTCTTTCTGTCATTCATTTATTCTCCTTTTTTCCTTTGGTTATTCTGTCATTCTTTGTTTACTTTCTTTTTCTTTCTTTCTTTCTTTTCTTTTCCTTCTTTCTTCTTCTTCTTTCTTTTCTTCCGTTCTTCCTTTTCTTTCTTTCTTTCTTTCTTTCTTTCTTTTCTTTCTTTCTTTCTTTCTTTCTTTCTTTCTTTCTTTCTTTCTTTCCCGTCTTCCCTTTCTTTCTTTCTTTCTTTCTTTCTTTCTTTTGTCATTCATTCATTTTATGTTTCTTTTTGTCATTCACTTGTTCTTTCTTTTTCCTTCGACATTCTTTCTTTACTTCTTTATTTCTGTCTTTTCATCATTTATCTTTCTTTCCTGTCTTCCCTTTCTTTCTTTCTTTCTTTCTTTCTTTCTTTCTTTCTTTCTTTTTTCTTCTTCTTTTTTCCATTCATTTGTTTCTTTCTTTTTTTTCTTTCTTTCTTTCTTCCCTTTCTTTCATTTTTCTTTTCTTTCTTCTTTCTTCCCTTTCTTTTTTCTTCCTTTTTCTTTCTTTCTTTTTTTGTTTCTTTTTTTTTTTCTTTTCTTCTTTCTTTTATTTCTGTCTTTCCCTTTCTTTTTTCTTTCTTTCTTTCTTTCTTTCTTTTCTTTTTCTTTCTTTCTTTTTCCTTTCTTTCTTTCTTTTCTTTTTCTTTCTTTGTTTCCTTTCTTTCTTTCTTTTTTCTTTCACTTGTTTCTTTCTTTCTTTCTTTCTTTATTTCTTTTTCTTTTATCTTTCTTCTTTCTTTCTTTCCTTTCTCTTCCTTTCTTTCTTTCTTTCTTTCTTTCTTTTCTTTCCCTTCTTTCTTTCTTTCTTTCTTTCTTTTCTTTCTTTTCTTTCTTTCTTTCTTTCCTTTCTTTCCCGTCTTTCCTTTCTTTCTTTCCCTCTTTCTTTCTTTCTTTCTTTCTTTTTTCTTTCTTTCCCTCTTCCCTTTTCTTTCTTTCTTTCTTTCTTTCTTTTTTTTCTTTCTTTCTTTCTTTCTTTCTTTCTTTCTTTCACTCTTTCATTTTTTTATGTTTCTTTCTATCATTATCCTCCCTCCTTTCTTTTTTTTCTTTTTTTCTTTCAGTAATTCATTGTTTATTTGCTCCTTTTCTTCATTAAATAATTAATTCTTTCTTTCCTATTTTTGTTTATTCTGTCAGTCTCTCTTTACTTAATTCTTTCTATCTTTCCTTCATTCATCCTTTTCTCTCTTTCTTTTTTTCTTTTATTGGGTCCGTTTTCCTTAACGGATTTATGTGAAAGATAGACAGAGAGTGAAAAAAAGAGAGAAAGGGGGGGGGCAGAGAAAAAGTGAGAGAAAGCGAGAGAGAAAGAGAGAACGAAAGACTTAGATTAAGAGAGAAATTTTAGAGAGAGAAGAAAGTCAAATATGAAGAAAAGGAAAAGGAATGTCTTGTTAAGGAGAAATTAAGAGAAAGGGCGTCAAGGGGAAAGAAAGAAAGAAAGAAAATTTGAAAGAAAGAAAGAAAGTTGGAAAGAAAAAAAAGAAAGAAAGAAAAAGAAAGGAAAAGAAAGAAAAAGAAAGAAAGAAAGAAAGAAAGGAAAGAAAGAAAGGGAAGAAAGAAAAGAAAGAAAAAAGAAAGAAAGAAAGTTAAAGAAAGAAAGAAAGAAATGGGAAAGAAAGAAAGAAAGAAAAGAAAGAAAGAAAGAAAGAAAGAAAGAAAAAAGAAAGAAAAAAAAAAGAAAGAAAGAAAGAAAAAAAAGGGAAAAAGAAAGAAAGAAAAAAAGAAAGGAAAGAAAGGTAAGACGGGAAAGAAAGAAAGGGAAAACAAATTTTAAAGAACGATAAAATTTTAGACTAGAATTTTTTAAAAATATATTTTACAAATTTTTGTTACTGGATTAGACACATCCCGATAAGTAAAACGAACACACGCACACACACATAAATACACAAGCATACACACTTTCACGCATATTGACGTATAAACACATACATACTGTCTGTCACACCTCAAACATATACACACATACACTTTCATTTATATACAAAAATACACCATACACACACTATCCAACACACAGATAATCACACGCGTACACACATTTTCCATCTCTCTCACACACACATAATCACGCTTTTTTCACACAGAGCTAAACACTCTCTGTTACATATACAAAAACAATAAACATACATAGTCTCTCTTGCACACATACATAGGAAGTACACACATACACACTCTCTTTCACACACAGAAATACACATGCAACTACACACAATCATAATCTTTTTCACCCACAAGCATATACAGTCTCTCAGACTCATAAACGCTCACAAACACTCAGGCAGATACAAGTGCGCACATAAATATACGTTTAAAATAGAGAACAGTCAAATGGAACAAATGTAAATAAATTCGTAAAAAATTAGCAATAACGGCGTAATAATAATAATAATAATAATAATAATAATAATAATAATAATAGACAAAGCCCGTACCCATCAGTGGCTACGTAGTGCAGGGTTGAAAGGAAACTGAAGGTTTTATCCTTGCTTGCAGGACCAATGCTTGCTAACTAGGAATTATCAAGCACATATACTAAAAAATATTGTGTCAGCCCAAAATGCAGATTCTGTGATAAATATCCAGAAACGATTGATCATCTTGTATCAGGTTGTACGGTGTTGGCACCCACTGAATATAAAACCCGACATGACAGAGTGGGCCAATATCTGCACTGGAAAATCTGCAACTTCTACGGGAAGGAAACTGAAAGAAACTGGTATGAACACCACCCAGACTCGGTTATGGAGATAGGACCTGTTACAATTCTATGGGACTACACAATACACACTGACAGAACAATCAAGGCCAACTGCCCAGATATTGTTATTAAAGACCACAAATAAAAACGGTGTCTCCTTATTGATATGGCAGTCCCTGCTGACTGCAATGTATCTTTGAAGATATTCAAAAAGCTGTCAAAATACAAGGACCTTGAAATAGAAATCTCGAAAATGTGGCATATGGGAACATCAACAATTCCTGTTGTAGTTGGAGCCCTAGGACTAGTTGGAAAAGATTGCAGTAGACTAATTAAAGGGATTCCTGGAAGTCCATGCCTCAAGGTAATACAAAAAATTGTTCTGACAAGTACAGCCCACACTTTACGAAGGGCTTTATCTATGTAATTTTTTTTTTTTTTTTTTTGTCAGTGGAAAGTGTCATGATGCCATTTCTAACCTTAGGTCCCTGGACGGGACCCGGATAGAAATGCGTAAACGCCAGAAATCAAAGAAAAAAAAAAAATAATAATGATAATAATGATAATAATAATAATAATAATAATCATGATGATAATAATAATAATAGTAATAATAATAATAATAATAATAATGATAATAACTTAGCTATACCCATAGTAACATGCAGCCAAAACATTATTAAATGGAAGTTGAATGACATTAAAAGACTAGAAAAATGCTTACCCCAATGAGGATACACCACCCGAAATCAGATGTTGATAGGCTTGATAGCAAGAGCTTTAGGAAGCTGAAGTCTAATTCAACTTGAACTAAATCTAAAAACTACAACAGATACCTCACAAAAAACCAATGACCCTTTCCTGCAAATAGCAAAACACCAAATCCGCCCCATCAACAAAGAAGCTGTACTCTTCCGGAAACAGCTTGACACACTACCCCCCCCCCAAAAAAAAAGAATCGAATACCATCTACGCAAAACGTGTAAAACAAAAAGCAAAACAACTTGGCCAAATAAAATTACAAAAAGAGTGGGAGGACAAAGCGTTGCATGGAAAATACCTCAAAAGAAAGAAATAAGCAAATGTGGACTAACACAAGACGCATCAGTGACTGAGGATCACCGGGTTGAAAGATGAGACAGAAAGCCTAATTATTGCAGCTCAGGACCAAAGCTTCGCAACCAGATCAAGGATGGAACTAACCCGAAATGCAGGATCTGCGGAAATTATAATGAAACTGTTGACTATATTATCTCAGTATTTTTGGAACTAGCGAAAAATGAACACGCCAACACACAAGGTAGCAATATATGAGCCCTGGAAGATATGCAAGAAGCACAAAATCGAAACCACTGAGAGATGGCGTGATCACCAACCAGACACAGTTACCCAAAAGAACGATGTAACTATCCTCTGGTACATGCCAATTCAAACTGACAGGAAATAAAAGCCAATAGACCTGATATTATCTCAAATGACAAGAAATTCAGGAAGTATATACTTATTGACATCACTGTAACATCTGAGAGAAACAACACCATGAAAATTATCACGGAATTATCCAAGTACAATGACCTGGAGATCAAGATGAACATGGTGTGGAGAATGAAGACTTAGACTGGACCAATAGTAATCGGGGCCCCGTGAGAAAAGGAATGGGCAATTTTACTAACAGTGTCCCAAGTAACATCAACATACAAGTGGCCCAGAAGATCGCCCTACTAAGAACATCCCATATACTAAGAAAAGTTCTATCAATTAAATGGCAATTCTTCTATAGGACGTAAGGACAATAGTTTGGACCCGGGCTCTACAGAATACAAAGCAGGAAACATAACATACACAAATAATAATAATAATAATAACAATAATAATAAAAATAATAATAAAAACCACAAACAAAAACGGTGCCTCCTTATTGATATGGCAGTCCCTGCCGACTGCAATGTATCTTTGAAGATATTCAAAAAGTTGTCAAAGTACAAGGACCTTGAAATAGAAATCGCGAAAATGTGGCATATGGGAACAGCAACAATCCCTGTTGTAGTTGGAGCCCTAGGACTGGTTGGAAAAGATTCCAGTAGACTAATTGAAGGGATTCCTGGAAGTCCATGCCTCAAGGAGATACAGAAAATTGTTCTGATAAGTACAGCCCACACCTTACGAAGGGCTTTATCTATGTAATCTTTTTCTTTTTTTTTTCTTTTTTTGTCAGTGGAAATTGTCATGACGCCATTTTTAACCTTAGGTCCCTGGGCGGGACCCTGAAAGAAATGTGTAAACGCCAGAAATCAAATAAAATAAAATAATAATAATAATAATAAATACGCCTAATATAAATTTACGTTTTTTATTATGTGTAAAAATTTAAGGGAAGTGTGCAAAATAACGATGACCCACCCTCCCAAATTCAAGTTATGTTTCTTTTTGTCATACATTTATTCTTTCTTTTTCCCCTTGTTTACTCATTCTGTAATTACATTTTCCTTTCTTTCTTTCTTTCTTTCTTTCTTTCTTTCTTTCTTTCTTTCTTTAGCCATACATTTTGTTTCATTCTATCATTATCCTTCTTTCTTTCTTTTTTCTTTCAGTAACCCGTTGTTTATTTGTTCCTTTCTTTCATTAATTAATTTATTCTCTCTTTCATACCTTTGTTTAGTCTGTCATTCTTCATATGTAGCATTTATGACACGAATGTCTTTCCTTAGGTGTTTATAAATTGTATACTGTTCAATTATTAACATTAACAACGAACTATTTTAAATTACAAAATTTTACTTGGATTAAATGAAAATTAATTACAATATTATACATATTACTTATAATACATTCCTTCTTGCCGTCAATTTTGACGGCACGGGTACATTAGTTGTACTACTACTACTACAACTACTACTACTACTACTAATAATAATAATAATCCACATATTTGGGATGCTATGTGTTCCATTTACAAAGGGTCGTTGAAAAAGTCCTCACCTCGATTCACTACTCAATATCTGATCAAACATCAGAATTTTTAGAGTATCCCATTCTATTGTCAGGTACAGAACTTTTCGACCCCCCCTTGTAGTCATAATGAGTTTAATTATCGGAAAGATGTTACCTTCATAGTGTTACTGCTTCGCGGCCGAGATAGTTGCATACTTTATTTATCGGATTTAGAGATTGGTGTTCAAGCCCAGTTGAAAATGAAACTTGAAATGCTGATTTTCAAACATTCATTTTAATATTAATGTCTTATAATATTCCGCAATCAGTTTTATTTCCGTTGAGCATTGTACTGTATATGATGATGATGATGAGGAGGAGGAGGATGATGATGATGATGATGAGGAGGAGGAGGAGGATGATGATGAGGATGAGGATGATGATGATGATGATGATGATGATGATATATCAATGAAGTTAATTTCGCACTCGTGAAAGAGAAGATCGAATTCGATTCGAATGCATTTCTCTGTGAAACGAGTTTGCATGCCATCGAACATGAAAATAAATACAAAATAAATGTGTCTGGGGAAGAGCATTAAGTATGCGGGGAGGGAAATGTGTCTTAAAGAAGAATATGTAGAATTCCTTGAATTCACACATTAGAAAGACAAGAATAATCAAATTCTCAAAGGAAAAAAGAAAGAAGAAAATGAAAAAAAATGGATATAAATTTGAAAGAAGGGATTCGAGAAAGTAAAAAAGAAGAAGAAAGAAAATGAAAAAGAAGTGGTAGAAAGAAAGAAAATGAAGGAAAATGAAAGACGGGATTCAAGAAAGAAAAGATAAAGGAAAATGAAACAAAGAAAAAGAAGGCGAATGAAAGAAAGAAATAACCATGAATTCGAAAGAAGTGATTTGAGAAAGAAAGAAAAATGAAAATGAAATAATGAATATAAATTTGAAAAAAGAAAATGGAATGAAACAGAAACGATTTTTATAAGGTTGAAAAAGTAATTAAGAAAATGGAAAACAAGAAAGCAAGAAACGTAATATAAATTTCAAGGAAGGGAAGAAAGAAAGAAAGAAAGAAAGAATGAATAAATAAATGAATGAATGAATGAAAAGCAGATGGAGTAACCAAACATTATGAATGAACAACTGACAGATGTAGAAAATAATAAAAAACAACACACAAAGAAACTTATATATTCTCGCGAAACACATACACTTCACTCGTCTATCCCCATTCATTGTCTCTCTCTCTCTCGCTCTCTCACTCTCTCACACACACACACATTCATACATGCACACACACACACACACTTAAGAGGTCGACTGGGTGATTAAGCGAAACACAATAGCTCCTTGATAGTCTACACCATCTTTGTTTTGCTACCTAGAAAGTGTAAAGGTATTTTGGAGAAAATCTTTTATAGTTTTTGAGTTGAGTTGGGAGACTTTTCTACATATGAACATTTGTTAATTTATTGAATGTCGAAATCTTTTCTTTTTTTTTAATTATAGTCGTGTCTACATTATTAGGTATATATATATATATATATATATATATATATATATATATATATATATATATGAGTCAATAAGTAAATATTAGTAGGGTTTATACTTAATATCTACATTTTTAGCACTTTGAACGTTATTTTTTAGTGGATACCCATTATTTTATGTCTGCTGGCCTGAATATTTGAGGAATCTTATTAAAGGAAAATGCGCCCTCAGGCAAGGTTTGAACCTCCGTCCCCTAAACCCTTGTTAGATCCGACGTACTTTTAACCAACTCGGCAACGAAGAACGTTGTCGATTAATCAATTCAGATTCCCGAAAGTTCATAATTGCTCAGTTTCATATTCGAATTGTAAACAAAACAATTTCATTACTTCTTTGGAAATGACTTAAGTCTATAAGCAAACATTAAAAATGTGTATACTTGCGTCCATTGATTGCTGGATAGAAGGTTGTCTACTCATCTTTCCAATGAAAAGAGATCTTGGCCTAACAACAAACTATCGAGGGATAACACTCACCAACAAAACCCTCCAAAATCCTCCTCTTATTGGATCGCATCCGCCTTGAGTTGGACAATATCCTCCGCAAAGACCAAAGCGGTTTCAGACAAAACAGATAAACAGTTGCCCGAATTCTAACCCTCCGTCGTATAATTGAGGGTGTAAAAGCCAAGAACCTCAAAGCTGTGCTTGTATTTGTCGATTCCTCGAAAGCCTTCAACTCCATCTATCGTGACTCGAAGAGATCCTGTTAGCATATGGGATCCCGCAAGAGACAGTATCGGCCATCATGATGCTGTATAAGAACCCTCGCTCAATAGCCCGATCTCCAAGAGTTTTTCAACGTTTTCGCGAGAGTTTTGTAGAGATACGCTTGCACCTTTCCTTTTCATTCTGTGCTTTGATTCCGCCTTGCAAACATCTGCTGATCTAAACACAGATCTGGGATTCACCTTTGAAAAAGCAAGAAATTCACGTCACCCAGAAATAAACAATAACAGACGTAAATCACGCAGATGACCTTGTCAGACGCGATTGATAAGACTACCAAAATTCTCCATCTCAACCAAGATTGGCCTCTACATTAATGTTGCCGAAACAGCGTTTGTCAGCTACAACCAAAGAAGGAGAAGTTAAGTTGAAAAACTGCAAAAAAAAACAAAAAAACATCAAGTCCGTCCAGGGACTTGTTTATCTCAGCAGTCAACGGAGAGAGACAAAATCCACAAAGGCAAGGCTCGGGGTGTCCTAGATGGTCTGAGTACCATCTGGAAGTTCTCCCTCGCTGACAATCTTAAGAGGGACTTCTTTAAGGCCAAGGTAGAATCTGTCTTGCTCTACGGCTCAACAACATGGTCACTGACGAAATACCAAGGGTTCAGTTCGATATTCCAACAACAAAAAGGGAAGATTGCGGTTTGAATATTGATATAAACAAGAAGAAAACGGGAGAAAATTGTGAGCCCGATTTTATTACTGAATCAGCAGAGTTCAATAAAATTATAATTTGAATATGAAAGAGAGAGAGAGAGAGAGAGAGAGACGGATGAAATTGTGGGGCTGGTCTTATTTTGTATCTATAAAATCCGATAGTGAAGACAAACGTTAAGGAAGAGATCCAAGGAAAATACCAATAAGATTACAAAACCTCACCAGTGTGTGACAACCCCAAAAGAATTGGAGGTTAAGAGTTAAGTTGGAGGTGGCATAGCATATGTTCTGATTCCTTAAGTTTTCTTATTTTCCAGTGATGTTCTCTATCAGTTATTTCAACCTCATCGCACAGAATGTGATGATCTCCCGTTTCCCTCCATATGTGGTCAGCTGCGCCTGATTTTTCTATTTCCCCTCGTGTTACGACTTTACAATGTTCTTGCAGTCTTATCTTAAGGAGACGGCCTGCTTCTCCTTTATATTTCTCACCACAGCTGCATGGGATGGCGTACACGCAGTCTTTAGTCATGTTCTCCTCTATGGCTGGGATTTTACTCATAAAAGGCTCCTGCGAAATATCGAACCACTTTTGCAGGTCGTCCTGATATTATAGGGACCACAGATCTTTTGTATTTTCTCCGATAATCCCTTCACATATGGGAGGCAGACCGAGATTGTTTCCCGAGTGTTGGTATTCTCTTGCAGTTTCTATGACAGTTTTTCGGAGCTGCTGTCATGTACCCAGAATAGTTGTAGGTAAGTCTCTGGGTCGCCACATGATTTTTGCTCGATGCAGTAAGCAGCGGTCACTTCCTTTCTTTACACTTTATGGGTGGTGGGAGTTGGCTTGCGGTATAAAGATGTTTTGAACCCATACTCTGTACATCCAGGAATGCTAATTTGTTGTTGTTTTCTTTCTCCATTGTGAACTGTATGAATGATCTTATTGAGTTCACATGGTCCAGTAGTTACTGGGCTACTCGCTGGTGTAGCCAGAGTATGAAGTTGTCATCCACAAATCTCAGCCATAGAGTTGGCTTTAGTGATATGGATTGTAATGCCATTTCTTTAAAGTATTCAATGTATATGTTAGCCATTACTAGTGATAATGGGGAGCCCATTGCTAACCCTTAATCCTGCCGATATATGTCTGGTGATATTCCGAAGTGTGTTGTTTGTGTACAGAAAGTCAGTATATCCATCGGCTTATATACTGGTATACTGGTCCGATCCCATAGGGATGAGTCCGAGGCTAGTCTGTTCCTGACTACCGACAATGCCTCCTCCGTGGGTACGTTGGTGAACAACTCACCATGTCCAGGCTCACCATCTGGTTGGTTTGAAAGGGAGCATCTTTGATTATTTCCACGAAGTTTCGGATATATGAAGGTGACTTTCCTATTAATGGGTCAATTATATCCAGAAGGAAGCTACTCAGAAGGTGGCCTACAAAGTCTTAGCAGCTAACATTTGGTCTGAGAGGAATACCGTCTTTTTGAATTTTGGGGAGACCGTATATATGAAGTAGCTTGTTGTAATCCTGTGACAACTGTCTGTATGTTTTAAGTGTGAAGGGTTCCTTGTCCTTGATTAGGATCTGCGAGTTTTCGTTCTGTTTTATTGTTGGATCTTTCTTTTACTGTAGCTGCCCTTTCTGATAATGTCTTTCAGTTTTTATGTATATTCTGATTTGTCCATCACTACAGCCGCATTGCCTTTGCCAGGTGGTAGTATGATGATGTTGTCATTCCTCTGTAAGGTTCTGATTGCCAACCTCTCCAGTTTCGTAATGTTTGATTTGGGCGGCTTGGCTTTCCAGTATCTGTCTCACTTTCCATCTTAGCTTATCCGTCCGAGCTTGAGGAATATTCAAGGCTATCTCCTTGATTCGGGCAAGGATCTCCAATTATGATATCCGCCTGATGGTTGTGGCGAAGTTGAGACCCTTGTTTAGTACTGACTCATCAGAGACACTCAGCTAATGTTGACTGATGTTGATTACTGTCTCCATGATGGACCTTATGCGTCACCTTTTCATCTTTCAATCTGTTCAGTTTCTGTACTTGACAGGGCTGCATCGGATGCATCGGATTTGTGTATGAGGGAAAAAAAACTACTCCTTCATATTTCATTTCTGTCAAAAGGTTAATATATAATAAATATTAATTTTATTAACAATATTGCTATCATTTTGTTGGCTTTTTATTATTAAAATTAATATTAAACCTATATATTATAAGAAGGACACGTGGACCACCGTTCAATGTAATCATATATATATATATATATATATATATATAGTCGACGTATGAGGGTCAAGCAGATCAGTTCCCAGGAAACCGACAACCCGATAACAGCACATGAGATTTGATTATAGTGGTGAAGGTTTTTGCAGGACCATCCACACTTTTTGAAGGGCCAAATACAGAGACCTAGTGCACTAAGTGCCACAGGGTCCCCAAACGACACTCCGCAGATTTTGAATTCAGAGTTGTCCTTCTCCTAGACCAGTTGCCATCCAAGGTTATAGAACCCAGGCTGTCCTGCTATTTACCCATATCTGGAGGGGAGAAGAAGAGGATTCACACCTTTCACAAGGGTATTAGCACGTAAGTGAATGTAATGGATTCGACTGGATTCGAACTCGGCTCTGCGATTCCTCAATCCAAGCCGATATCCATTACTCCACCGTGCCTTTTAACATAATAATATTTATTTTATTTTAGATTAAGCCCTCTTTTTAAATTGAATTTAACATTCAGTTTAAAAGAGGATTAATACAAAATAGAGCAATATTATTTATTTTAGGATATTACATAATAAACATGTCGAAAAAACGCTACACAAATGCAGTCGTGTTTCGGTGCGAATCAACGCATCTCATCAGGCGTCAGTAAAATAACTGGCGAGTAGACAATTTATTGATATTTAAAATCAGGATACACCCTCTTTTCACGAAAAAGGAAGAAAAAGATGAAGAAAGAAAGGAGAGGGAATGGTTGTAGGGTTTGTTTGGTTTTAATCAGATCTACCAATCAAAATGACCTACGCAAAGTTTAACGTAGGGGGAGAAGCAATATGTTTGAAGCGGCCGTTTGTAAAGGGTCATGACCTGCAGATTTAGAATCATAGACGGCACCCAAACTCTACATACGAACGGATGTAAATGGCTACAATATTTTTACACCAGATAATGTCATTTCAGAGGAAAGATGAAAGGTAATTTTTCAAACAAATGTTTACCTAAATCTCTTGTTTGCCTTTGTTCTATCTCTACAATAGAAAATCCGGAGGTTGAAAAGTTCTATAGTAAAATAAAAATAATTACGAAAAAAAAAAAAAAATTAATTAATCGAAGAAAAAACAAACCACTCCCGCCATAACAACCGTTAGAATAGACTGAAAACAATGCAAAATAAATAAGCAAGAACAAGTAAAAATAATCAATCCGAATAAACAAATAAATGATAAACGAAGTAACAAACCAATCCTGCCAAAATAACCGTTAGAATAGACTACAACAATCAATCTAAAAAATTGGATGAAAAAGTAGCTAAAATTACCTCCCAGACCAAAACATTCTACTAAATAAACGATCAGGACTCCTCTCAATTTTTTTTTACTACGTTACTAAAAAATCGAAAAGAATAAATAAAAATATATAAAATAAAAAATAAATAAAAAACAAGTAAATTAAATTAATCCAAATAAATAAATAAGTTAACAAACCACTCCCGACAAAATAACCATTAGAATAGACTACCCACAATGCACCACTGATTCGTATATATAAATAGTCGAGAAAAACTCAACACATGTGGCCTGATGATTGCGTTTAGCATGAAACAGGATGTCGCCTCTGAATATTGACTTCAATCTTCAATATTCACATACGCTCTATCTCTGATATTGAGCACTTTATCCCATAAATATAGCACACCTTAAAACTATATTTCTTCATATATATATATATATATATATATATATATATATATATATATATATATATATATATATATATATATATATGTATGTATGTATGTATGATGGCGGCTCACTCGTTGTGTGATGCTGGCCAACAAGAAAGTTTTCCTCTTGACTTTTTTTCAATGTGCATATCATTGTACAAATGGCCTTCGAGTTCAAAGGATTGACTTACACTTTTTTCTATATTATTGTGAAGAGACGACTATTTATTTACGGTTCCTTCTCTCTTTTGATGCTAGTCGTGGGTCACCTTTTCCGAATAGTAGGCCATATGAGACATGGTTAATCATAAAACTGGCCGCACCATTAGAAATTTCTAAGGTCATATTTCATTGAGGATATCTCAGACATTTTCACGACAGAAAACCATACACTTAAACATCTGCCTTAGAAATAGCGAAAGATTAATGATTTCTTTTGTTTGGATTGGATTGGTTTGGTCTGGTTTATTTTGTTTTATGGCATATCAACATTAATGGGTTATTTAATGCTAACAAAAATTTTTTATTGCTGGTAATTTTTTTTTATCAAATGTATTGTGGTAATTTTTTTCCAAAAAAGTATAGCTGGTAATTTTTTTTTCAAAAAAGCATAGCCATAATTTTTTTTCATAAATGTATTGCGAGTTTTGTTTTGTTCTACGGTATATCAACCTCAATGGGTTATTTAATGTCGACAAAATTTTAATTGTTGGTCATATTTTTTCAAAAAATGTTTAGCTGGTAATATGTTTTTTTTTGTTTTTTTTTTAAATGTATTGCTGGTAATAATTTTTTTTTACAAATTATTTCTGGTATTAAAACCAATTTTTACACTTTCATAGTGTTTTGACTCCAGTTTGGGTGGGGTTAACTATTTGCCCATAGCTGGGACCCTAACAGGTGCTACCACCCCGGGTCAATGTGGACCTGGGAACACCAGCAATTAAGAGGTGTTTCCACGCTCCTCAAAACCTCCTGATCAGAGGCCTTGCTGTTGGACGTATTTTATCGTCTTACCAAGGACGGTTTTTTGTTTGCGGAAAAATTTTGTTCATCACAGTGGTGATAGTGTGATTAAAACACGTTGCTGTGTGTGGCTTCTTTTTTTTATTTATACAAAAAATAGTTTTTTAAAAAATAAAACAATTCTTTATCAGAAAAAAATTATTATCAAAGTTTTATGTTTTTTTACGACCATATCATGTTGAAACACCGGATTCCGTACGATCACCGAAATTAAGCAACATCGAGCTTGGTTAGGACTTAGATGAGTGACTGCTTGATGCTGAAAGTTTGGATGTGCGACTGGTGTAATGGATAATGCCTCGGAATTGTTAATCAGAGAGCCGTGTTCATATTCCAGTTGGGTTCGTTATATTCACTTACGCCCAAATTCCCTTGGAAAAGTCATGAATCCTTTTTCCCCTGAGGTATGGGTTAATTAGTAATATTTGTACCAATAAATCAACATTATCTCAGAAAGATTATTACAATCTAAAAATATTTTTTAGCTTTGAATGACCTGCAAAGTGTCGTTAACCTGTAGAAAAGGAATCACTCTATTCTCCTTCGTGAAACCTGTAAAATAAAAAATGCAGAAATTCTACCTGTTACGGTATTTTTTGGTGTGGGGTTGCTTAATTAGCTTAACGTCAATTAAATAGGTCATTTAATGACGAAATTTAATTTTCTTGGTAGTTTGGTTATTTTTTCTACTACTAAAATCTCTTGGTGGAAGTTTTTTTTCTTTACTATTTAAATCTATTGCTGGAATTTTTTATTAATAAAATCTATTGTCTCTGTTGTTAATATAAAAATGTATTTTTATACTTTCATTATTTAGCTATTATATGTGTTTAATTTTGCGCATGCGCATTGTATGCTTTTGATTTTGTCAATTGCACAGGACAGTAGGGTCAGTTGGGCACCGTTTGTGTGAAAAAGAGCGCCATGATGCAATTCACTCCGCCAGAAATTTGGAAACGACATGCTGTACTGCTTGGCATTTGCATCAAAGGCTCCAACGCGAACATTTCAGAGTGTTTGGGTGTGAATCTGAAGACAGTGCACACGATTCCGAAAGAAAGAAAGTTGAAAGAATCTAATGGTGATTAAGAAAGTACGGCAGATCAGAAAAGTCGAGAATCGATGATCGTTCTGATAAGAAAATTACTCTCGAATTTGTTGGTGACTAAGGCCTACATCAAGTGCCTTGAAGAACTAGTGCTGTCCTCGGTCAATAGGGAGAACAGGCCCTATGTCTGACAACAGGATTCTGCACCATTCCACACAAGCAGGAAAACCTAGTCATGGCTGTTTCTGTGAACCCATTACCCCTTACATCTGCTCACCTAGCTCTCCAGACTGCAACCCCCTTAATTATCATGTGTCGACAGCAGTTGAGCGAGAGACCAACAAAATGAGCGAGTGATCGTCCAGAAGAGTTGCAGGAGATTCCGAAGTCGTCTGGAGGCCGTGGTTGAAGCCAATGGATTTTATTGAATAAATTTAATCTTTAGTATTTCAAGATTTTTTGTTTAATTTTGGTAAATATATCTGTTAAAATGAGATGTCAGTGTTATTTACATTTTTGCGTAGATTCGACGATAATTTAACCATGGCGTCCTGTATTACATTTGTTGATAATAACAATGATTTTTCTAGATACAGTCAGTCAGTTATGCGCTATATTTGATACACGCTTAGGCGATCATGTATCTTTCGATAATTCCGTAATCATTCGATACATGACTGACGAGATTTTTCCCTGCTGTAGGTTGGCATTTCTTTCTGCGGTAGACCAGTTGCCATACAAGGTCTGTCCTGCTATTTACTTATAGCTGGTGGGGGTAAAAAAGAAGAGGATTCATACCTTTCCCAATGGTATTAACACGTAAGTGAATGTAATGCATTCGACTGGAATTCGAACTCGGCTCTTTCAATTCCTCAATCTGAGCGGCTATCCATTTGTCCATTTTCGTTCTGGATGCGAGTACTACATGTACATCCATATCATGGGTAAGGAGAAGGATTCTCACTTTTCTCAAGGGTATTTGTGCGTAGTTGAAAGTACCGAACATGACTGGAATTCGAACTCGGCTCTCCTTTTCTAATTCTGAACTGCTACTCGATAATAGAACAAAGCGTCAAATTTGTTGTTCAATAAACTTAATGTCAAACATAAAAAAAGAAGTTTTTATTGTTTTAATAAACCCTAGAAGATTCTGTACTAATGATTCAAACAGAAAAGCCTTTCCCGATAATCTAAGCACTTCAGCTGTCTCTTCATGTAAATAATTATTTAATTAAGTCTGGATGTACTCATCCCTCCAAGAAGGAAATATATTTATTTTAATTTTTTATTATTATTATTATTAATTATTATTATTATTATTTATTATTATTATTATTATTATTAATTATTATTATTTTAATAATTATTATTATTTTTAATTATTAATTATTATTTTTTTTATTATTATTATTAATTTTTAAGTTTCTGTGCCACCCTTGTTGCTTGTTATCATATTTTCTTCCATCCTTTCTTTGGTCGTTAACAGCGAAATCGGAATGGAAAATACCTTTGGGCAGGATTCGAACTCTTAATGATAAAAAAAAAAAAACCCCGAAAAATAAGAAAGAACTGAGAATAATTTAATAATAAAAACGGTGTTATAATGAAATTACTTCATTAGAAAATAACAATTGTGTTTTTTTTATTTCATATATTTTTTCATGATGATTTGAATCAGCGGTATTTGAAAATAAATGTCGTTTAAAATTATTGGAAAATTAAGGGAAGAGAAACTTTCCAAGTAGTTTGCAATTATAAGACGCTACACAAATATTGCCAAAAATATTTTACAAATGTTTCATTAGAGTCAGAAATAAGAAGTGAAGTAATATTTAAAATGAAACAAATGTGTAATATAATTAGAAATATATTAGGTTGGTGCAAAAAAATAATGACGTAATAATGTCGTTTTTGACGTTAAAAATACATCAAAAACGACATTATTACGTCATTATTTTTGCACCAACCTAATATATTACGGAATTCTTTTTACTATCAATTCAAAACATATATTTTATGTATAAATCTAATAATTAATATTTATTATTATTATATATCAAAATATAGTGTTATATATCGTACCTATGAACACTAATAGGTATGTCCCAATCCTAATAAACACGATGGATACGATTGTGTGGGTAATCTGTTGTCTAAGCTGGCAGTGTGGAAAGCTCTTGCCGTGTAGAACTCTCTGTCTTCGGACAGAGAGAAACCAAGACTAGGCTATATCGAAAGGCAGAGTCACGTCCGGGTAGGTAGACAGATACCCGATCCGCGTATGCGGGTTCTACGGGCAATTATTGCCCGAACCCACCGGCTCGGATTTCCCAACATTAAATTTGGCCTTGTGCCGCTTCCTACTTCGTGAGAAGGCAGTTAAATATCGTAATATGAGGTCCATGTAGTCTACCACTAGCAGTGGTTTACCTACTTCACGCCGCTGGCGAGTATTGTATTTTTTTGATGTTATAAAGATTACCATTTCATTTCCAACCTCCGTTTTGGTTATTCCTCATTCAGTAACCCTTTCTAGGTTACAACATAATTAAAAGACAAACACAATTATTCAATTAGGGTTCATATAATGGTATTAACAAATCGCCAATTGTTGTCAGATAAAACACATTTCAAAAAAATCTCCATTGATTATAAAATTGTCAAAAAAATTAACAAAGCGTGATAAAGCATTTAATTATATATCACGGCTTAATCAATTTTTATCAAATTTATAACAAATAACAAGACTAATTGGAGAAAAATTTTATACAAAACTTATTTTCCCATAAAATTTTTACCCTAGCCCACGGGCTCGGATTTCCCTACATTAAATTTGCCACATCCTAACTCGTGGGGAGGCAGGTAAATATCGTAATATGGTGTCTATGTAGTCCACCACTCTCAGTGGTTTACCTACTTCACGCCGCTGGCGAGTATTGTATTTTGTTGATGTTATAAAGATTACCATTTCATTTCCAACCTCTGATTTGGTTATTCCTCATTTAGTAACCTTTTCTAGGTTACAACATATAGAATCAATAATTTCTCGGATATTTAATAAGGAAAGAAGAATTGATGAACATACTCAAAGGAAGAGAGGGAGGGGTAAACGAGTAACCCACATAATGAGTTTGTGTAAATGGATGGCAGAACAGGGAGTGGAAGGGACTCACTGGATATATTGAAGGCAAGATGAACAGAGGAAAACAACGCATGACATACTTAGTGAGCTTGTGTGAATGGATGTTGGAGCAGAGTTTAGGAGAGATAACAAAATGGCAACGTTTATTAAAAGCTAAAAATGACACGGAATAGTTGAGAGCCATGATCCCGACGTCCTGACGGAACACGGCACACAGAAGAAGATATTTCTAGAGAACATAAGGAAAGAGGGCCTGGAAAATTTAATACTCACAAGATAGATTGAAGGCAAGACGAACAGAGGAAAAAACTTATGTCCTACCTAGAGAGCTTGAGAAAATGGATGGCAGAACAAGGTTTGAAAATAAAATAAAAATAAATGTATTAAGAACTACAAAAGACAGGAAATTGTTGCGAACCAAGATCGCCAACGTCCCGACGGAACACGGCACTGAAAAGATGAAGATATGTAAATTAATAAGAATTTCGTCTAAGCGTGTATCATGCATGGCACATAACTGACTGACTGACGTGCTAATACCCTTGGGAAAGGTATGAATCCTCTTCTTCTCCCGCCAGCTATGGGTAAATAGCAGGACAGACTGGGTTCTATAGCCTGGGATGGCAACTGGTCTACAGCAGAAAAAAATGGCAACATACTGCAGGGAAAAAAATCGATTTGCACGTCAGAGGCGCTTCGGACTTCCACCAGAGTTTCCTCTGGCTTCATCCCGACCGGGCGTGGATCGCCATCTTTCGGGTCCCTGGCCGCTCGCTACGCCAGAGTCGGCCGAGTCGTACTCGGAGAAAAAATTACCGACCCGGGGGTGATGCGCCCGCGCGCAGTGCCTAAACTCGACGACCAAAATCGTGACTAGTTCAAGCCGCGGGATCTCACCGGTGGGCGATGGGAGGAAAGTTGAGGCTGCACCCCGCGAACGAACCCCCGTGAGTTTCCCCCCGCCACAAGCGCCCGAGCCCCTGCGTCATCTCCCGGCGACGGGAAAATCGTGGAGGAACCGATACGGGACGGACGGAAGAAAGGATGGAACGAACGACGGACGAAAACGGCAAGCGCCGGCGGAATCGGGCACGGCTAGGGCAGGCGGAAGGAAGCGAAAACTCCCCGCCGGAACCGCTTTCGCCGCGACACCTCTCCCAGTACCGGTGCCCTCCCCACGCGCTCTCTCGCTTTCGCTGCGCCTTCGGGGTTCTTCAGGCCCCTACGACTCGCGAACGGCCAGGACTCCTCGGTCCGTGTTTCAAGACGGGTCGGGTGGGTTGCCGATGCACGTCGCGGACCCGAGGTGACGGGCGGCACAGTCTGACGCCGATCTACCGCGCTGGCAGTGCCCTCCCGCGCGCCTAGATTTTTGCGTCCGGACGCGGAGAAGACGACGCGACGAGACGACGTCGCGCGCCGGCACGGGAATCGACGCGGCCGCGCCGGTTTCGAAGCTCCCGCGAACACTGTACCGCGCGCCCCCGAGACGGTGGGGCGCCGAGGGCGCGCGAAGCGCCGCGCGGATCGTCCGACGAGAAGAAACCGGTTCGCCACGTGTAACGGATCGCGTTTACGTTTCCTCCGTCCCCAGCAGACGGGGGCAGTACGCTCGCGGGCCCGACAGAAGACGCCTCCGCCCCCGACAAGCAGGTGGGGTGGAGTTTAGAGTGCGCCCTCCGCCTACGAACACCGCGCGTCGACCTGCACGCCGGGAACGGGTCGCGACGACGGACCGGAGGGGAAGTGCGTCCGGTGCCGGCCGTGCGGAATGTGAGCGTCGCGCCGAAGCGCCCGCGCCATATGATGCCGAGCGATGGAAAGGTGCGGGTGATCGCGAGGAATGGAGAAGAGGAGTCACGACGGCAGCGACGGCGGCAGCAGCGACGCTAATCGCCGCCACAGCGGCGGCAGCGGCGACAGCGGCGACCGCCGCGCTCTCCTCGTTCCCCGCGGCCCGTCTCTCCCGTCGGCGACGCGAGCGCAAAAGCAGAATCCGGAGGGCGTCGAGGTCGAGTTGCCGGCGGCAGAGCTGCCGACAAAAACTGCGTTCCCCGCCGGTGACCCCAGAACGACGTCCGCGCCGGCCTGAGATGGGCGCCGCCGCCCGAGCGAAAACCCGGGCAACAACCAAATCGAGTTTGGGCCACGTTCGGCAGCACCGGACTGAGTCCCCCGCGATCGCGGTGAGCGGTCCCACCCGTTTACCCTGGGCGGTTTCACGCCCTCTTGAACTCTCTATTCAGAGTTCTTTTCAACTTTCCCTCACGGTACTTGTTTACTATCGGTCTCATGGTTATATTTAGTTTTAGATGGAGTTTACCACCCACTTTGGGCTGCATTCCCAAGCAACCCGACTCTCGGATCGAAGGCCGTCGCTCGCCGTCCGCACCGAATGGGCCTGGCACCCGCCGCGGGCGGCCCCGATCGAGGGAACTCCGAACTACGCGAGACGAAAACGAGCGGCTGCCTTCGACCCATGCGCCACACGTCCCGAAGCCTTTTACTTGCGACGGGATTCGGCGTTGGGCTTCTCCCGGTTCACTCGCCGTTACTAAGGGAATCCCGGTTGGTTTCTTTTCCTCCGCTTAGCGATATGCTTAAGTTCAGCGGGTCGTCTCGTCCGAGCCGAGGGCGGCGGTGTTTGAGGTAAGACAGCAAAACGCGACCACGCACAGTGACGGCAGAATACGGCGGCGGCGGCGGCACAGACTGGCTTCGAGACGCCCAAGGTTTGTATTTCGACCTCCGAGAGCGAAACGATGGTGCTACCACTGTTGCTGTTTGCGCGTGGCCGTAGTCAACGTTTTGCAATCTAGGACTGCTCGCGGTCGTAAGGAAGCGACCCGCGGTCTTCAAGCGGGAGACGAAGGAGGAGAAAATTGAAGCAGCAGGCTCCTCCTGCGACGTCCCGGTTTCCTCCGCGTAAGAAACGGGCAATTCTTTCATGAAGAAAGAACGACGCGGTGGACGGTGAGATGCCTCTCGACTATCAAGTGAGAAGACATGCCATTTTCCGCCTCTCGACCGGACGGGGCCCCGAGACAAGGGATCTCGAGGCCGCAATGTGCGTTCGAGGTGTCGATGTTCACTGAGTCCTGCAATTCGCATCAGTTCTCGCGGCTGGCCGCGCTCTTCATCGACGGACGAGCCGAGTGATCCCCCGTCCAGGGTTTTGTTTTGGTTAAGTTTTTTTCGTGACAGGTTTAAAAAAAAATGTGTGCGGGAGAAGCAAGGAGGCCGAGTTGATACGCGCGCGACCGAGACGGTAGCAGTCCACAGCAGACTGGCACCCCGGCAACCACCACAAATTTGTCGGGGACATAGACGGCGGCCAGGACCGTACACGTGACCACGTCGACGTCGGCGGGAGACGGAGGCTGGTCGGCGGCATCCGTCTCGCGATCGTGGCCGGCGGTAGCGGCAGCGCTCCTCGAATCGCGTGCGCATCTATCCGAACTCGACCTCCCCGCACAGGGACGTAGAGGCGGCAGCAACGGCGGCGGCGGCGGCGGCGGCGGCGGCGGTACGTGAAACGGGACGGCTGGACGTAATACGGCTGGAGACGGGCGCCCGTCTCGCGCAGAGAGCAGAGGATATTTTTTGTCGGACGAGTAGGGAGGAGGAGCAGCATCAGCAGCAGCAGACGCAAGGAGGCGAGGCCGTCCATGCGACGGTGGCGCGGCCATTTCTTTTTGACTGCTGCCGCGAAACGAGCGCAAGCTTTCCCCCCAACCCTGTTTCGCCGACGAATAACGTGCTACCCGCGACCGACCAGTCGTGACGGCGGCGGTCTCTTGACGGCGGTACACGCCGCTCGCTTGCTACGAGTCCCAACCGACGAGTCGTCTCCCAAATATACGGCGGGGAGATAGCGAACTCGACGGCGTTTCGAAAACGAACGGACACGACGACATGCGCGGAGTCATCGATAATGATCCTTCCGCAGGTTCACCTACGGAAACCTTGTTACGACTTTTTACTTCCTCTAAACGATCGGGTTCGGTCGTCTTCTCCAGGCATCGAACGCCGAGGCAAACACGACACGCGCGTGAAACGGCGGCGGAGACCGCAGCCGCTGCGCCACGTGCACGCTGCCCGGCGGCGTCGTCGGCCAGATCCGAGGACCTCACCGGACCGTTCGATCGGTAGTAGCGACGGGCGGTGTGTACAAAGGGCAGGGACGTGATCGACGCGGGCTGTTGACCCGCGCCTACCGGGAATTCCTCGTCTAAGCGTGTATCATGCATGGCACATAACTGACTGACTGACGTGCTAATACCCTTGGGAAAGGTATGGATCCTCTTCTTCTCCCGCCAGCTATGGGTAAATAGCAGGACAGACTGGGTTCTATAGCCTGGGATGGCAACTGGTCTACAGCAGAAAAAAATGGCAACATACTGCAGGGAAAAAAATCTGCCTCGTCAGTCATATATCGAAAGATACATGATCACCTAAGCGTGTATCACACATGGCACGTAACTGACTGACTGACGTGCTAATACCCTTGGGAAAGATACGAATCCTCTCCCCCCACCCCCGTTACAGCTATGGTTGAATAGCAGGACAGACCGGACTCTATAACCTTGGATGGCAAGCGGTCTACCGCAGAAAGAGATGGCAACCTACTGCGGGAAAATAATCTGCCTTGTCAGTCATGTATCGAAAGATACATGATCACCTAAGCGTGTATCACACATGGCACATAACTGACTGATTTATATAACTTCCGAAGACTCGTGTTTCAGGTTAAAACGCAAACTCTTCGTCCTTTCTCAATATAACCGAGGGTTTAGGAGAGATAACAAAAACAGAATGGGGTTTAGAAAATAATTATGGCACATAATGAGGAAAGAGGGCTTGGAAAATTTAATACTCACTGGACGGATTAAAGGCAAGAGGGACAGAAGAAAACAACACGAACCTACCTATCGAACATAAAATTGATAATAGAGCAAGTAGAGATAATTAAAAATACAAACTTTATTAAGAGCTACAAAGGACAGGAATTTGTGGAGAGCTATGATCGTTAATGTCCTGAAGGGACATGGCACATACAAGAAGAATTTGGTAACAAAAAAGCGTTTAATTTTTGTGGGTGATGAATTATTTACCATCCTAAAAACCTTTCCAATATGCGAAACGTTTGCTAGCCTCGTCGTCAGCGGCGGCTTTATCTCGTATCCAAGAGTTTAATTTCTTCTTTTCTGATCGTTTCCTTTATGATGATGGCGTTGATGACTAAATTCGCCGCCAACATGCTGGTTCAGGACGAGAAGCTTCCAGTTTTACCAAAACCTGCTTCCGTTACCCATTCCCTGTCTTCGTTTGGCTTTGCAAGAGTTTGGTGAAAGTGAAAGAAAATCGGAGTAAAAGAAAGTGCGCGAATTTGTTCTTAAGTTGCCAGGAAGTGCCCCACACACCTAATTTCAGTTTTGAAACTGCAACAGACTGCCAGTGATTGTTATGATTTCGAGTGGCGCCTTCTGTAACATGTCCGTCATGCGTAGCCCGCTTCATCCGTTTGTTCAACATTTTTGCTAGCCTATCACTAATCTATTGCGATATTCATGGCAGAGATTTAAACGAGTTCCTTATTCCCCCCCTCAGTTCAGGCCTTCACAGCTAGGACTCACCATACTACGTTCAGAGGGTAAACGAATCCATATTCAGCCCGTATTCCACAGGTAAGGAGACGTACGGTAATATCCCTTTAAAACACCGGTTCTCGTAGGATCACCGAAGTTAAGCAAAGTTGAGCATGGTTAGTGCCAAGATGGGTGACAGCTTGGTATTACCAGATATCAGTTTGCATGTATAGGTGGTGCAATGCATTACGGCTTATAATAGGAGATCAAAAAGCCGAGTTCCAATTCCATTCCGGTTTGTTATATATATATATATGCGTGAAAAGTGTATATAAATAAATATAAGTATGTATAATTATTTATATATTATATGCGCGGTACTTATTAGAAAGCGCTCAATATCAGAGATAGAGTAATATATTTGGTTGGATAGATGTGAGTTTGTGACCCTGGGTTTCACGCTTTAGCGATCGTCAGACAAATCGCTAAAGCGTGAAACCCAGGGTCATAAACTATCCAATCACATCTATATATATATATATATATATATATATATATATATATATATATATATATATATATATATATATATATATATATATAAAAAAATCCTGCAATAATAATAACAACATTTACTCACTTTCGTTTATTGATTATTAAATGACATCACTTAGCCTCCTCCATAGCTTAGTGTAGGAGGCACGGTGGAGTAATGGATATCGGCTTGGATTGAGGAATCGGTGAGCCGAGTTCGAATTCCAGTCGAATCCATTATATTCACTTACGTGCTAGTACCTTTGGGAAAGGTATGAATCCTCTTCTTCTCCCTCCATCTATGGGTAAATAGCAGGACAGATTGGGTTCTATAGCCTTGGATGGCAACTGGTCCAGGAGAAGGACAACTCTGAATTCAAAACCTGCGGAGTGTCGTTTGGGGACCTTGTGGCACGTAATGCACCAGGTCTCTACAATCGACTCTTCAAAAAGTGTGGAAGGTCCTGCACCACTATAATCAAACCCCATGTGTTATGCATGCTGGTTGGGGACCGCTTGTGAATTCCAAATTCCCATGAAACTCCAAATGGAACCGGCTCAACCCACCTCGGGTGAACGCCGGTACAGGTAGGCTTCATAGTTTACCTTTACTTAAATTTAAAGTTTTCAGGCATGTTGCAAAATAAAATCCTTACATTTACTTTGATAAAATAGCACAAGTGACGAAAGGTGTTGATAAAAATGTTTCCTTTATATATATATATATATATATATATATATATGAGAAGAAGATATATAGAAGGAAGAAGAGGATTCATACCTTTCTTTATATATACGTTATTTTTATAGACATAATTTATTTGAGTAAATTGTTCTTTTCTGATTAAATAGAATTAATTATATTTCCTGGCCTGAATTTTCGAGAAATTTCGTAGAAAAGTTGCACTCCCCGATAGTAATCGAACCTGTAACCCTTATGGGAATCGTTGTTTCATTTGACATGCTGTCAACCATTCGGCCACAAAGAAACGTCTGGTTTGCTAAGTCCGAATTACTGTATATAAAGACACAATCTTCGACGATTTTTCTCGACTGATCATATCTGTTCACGAAACGTATCTTAACGTAAACAATGACAACATATGAAATGGAATATGTCCAACAATTATTTTCTCTTTACACGTTTTTTTTTTATAGATATAATTTACTTTAGTAAATGGTCTGTACTTTAATTAAACAGTATTAGTTAGTTTTAGCGGTAAGTATGTTCGAGAAATTTCATATATGTGTGTATGTGTGTGCAATTAATAAATTCCTACTGCTCCTGCGGCGAAAACAGCAGCAGTGCTGGTGATAAAGAATTCATCAGTTGGATGGATCAAGCTTCAGAAATGGTTTTGACGCTGTAGTATCATTGGCGCTAACAGGGCATCACAGCAGAAACTCCCTTATATTGATTTGTTTTTTTTCTTGGTGATGTTTTTAAGCATCAGGTAATTTTAGCTGAGCCTAGACATACTTAAGGAATTCTCAATTTTCAGCTTTATTTCATACTTAACATTTGAGAAAGGTGAAATCTGACTTTAAAATGTTGCCATAAAAAATCTGAATTTTGTTTCACGCTTAAAATATCCTTAATTTTTAGACTAATTTGATATTTGATTCCTATAACCTTCATGCTAATACATACATACATACATACATACATATATATATATATATATATATATATATATATGTATATTTATTAATATATATATATATATATATATATAGATATAGATATATATATTAATAAGTATACATAATATCCCACATATCTGGTGTTAATAAAACAGTGATCGATGTAATATAACAGTTACATAAAGACACGTTTATGTAATGTAAGTTTTTTTTTATTTTGCAACAAGTATTTATAAACGAAAGTAAAAATGTTGTCAGTTTTTCAAAATTTTTAAATTTAAGAAAGATTTGCAGAAATTTTCTTAGACGTATCTATGAGCACAAAAACAATTTTAAAACAATTTATCAAATGCATTAATCAGTCTTAGAAATAAATCCAACCACAACTTTGAACTAAGGAATGTCTCTCTTATTAATATAAGCGTTTCCTAAATTTCATTTTTTTTTAATGTTCCCCCAATACACGGCCCAAGATCCATTCAAGGTAGAGGGTTACTGTGTGATGTTTTATGGTGTTGTATGAGTGTAATAAAATGGAAGAAGTGAAGTGCTGGGGTTATGCAAGAAAGACAACGGCCAACTTTAGACTCGAAACTACCAAAATTTAATTAGTCAGTAAGATTTCACGATTCAGTAGAAGTACATTATTTACATTATTCGGACTATTGTCCTCATCTTTGTCACCATATTTATCACAACATTTCGGCCTTCTTCAGGTGATTGGAATGTCGAACTGAACCTTTTATTTCCTCAAGGCCACATGGCACAGTGGATAAAGACGTTGGTTAGATCCAGTGGCAAGACCCAAAGAGTGTGAGTTCAATACCCGGTTAAGGCAGTGGAGAACTTTTAGAGGGAAAATTAACAGGAGATAACTGATAGCTGACATCCATCAAACATTGCACGTGGAACTAGAACAGTCTACCCCAGTGAGCGAAATAAAGGGTTCAGTTCGACATTCCAACCACATGAAGAAGGCCGGAGCGTACAAAGGCCGAAATGTTTTGATAAATATGGCGACAAAGATGAGGACAATAGTCCGAATAATGTAAATAATGTACATAATACCTCATCTCAGAAATATAGACAGACTCAGTAGATGTAACAGTGTGGAAGGAACCGGTTACCCAATTCTAAACCGGAATCAAGGTAGAAGTCAGTACTCCTGTTCAAAAGATAAGAGAGGAGTTTGAACTAGGCGATAGGTAAAAACTCTCTACGCCTTTTAGGAAAGAAAAAAAAATTAAGTACAGGCTAACAGCTCTGTACTGCATTTATTGCTGTCACTAGTTTACTAAAATAGGTAATAATAATAGAAATGGATAGACGATACAATTTATATTCGTGCAGTATATTCTGCTCTGGACACCTAGCCATGGAGCGAGACGTGTTGGTCGCCCAGCAACCAGCGACATTGGCCAACTATGTTAGGACACGGAATGCTACACTTATGACATTTCGAGCTTGATGCAGGACCGTGATAGACTCGTGAATGTCCGAGCTAGCTCGATCGAACAAAATAGCGAACTGGAATAGTGACGATTCTTAAAGCAAGACACCGTTTGCACACTTGAACGCAACCTTGAAACATTACCTGGGAGTTCGATATAAACACGCCGTATCTAACCGTGTCTTCGTGGATTGCGGTGGTAGAAAGTACGAGGTTTTTCTGATGTGACTATGTATAAAATTGTGCTGCACTATTGAAAATCTAATTAATAACAACCACAAATATTTAATAATACGTTCAAAACGTAGTAAATTGTTGTGATAGAAAGAAAAATAACATTGTAGAGTCGGCGACTTTGACTTGCTAGTACGCTAAGCTGTTAAATCTTCAAATAATTTCTCTTTCCAAAAAATGCCTAGCTAATTATATGGTGCGTTCATAGCATAGGGGAAAGACGGCATATTTTAAGTCAATGTCAGCTCTAAAAGTATTTCTACAAAATTAAAAAAAAAACTTAAGTATAGGAATTACTAAATATTTTTGAAACGTTTCAATAAAAATCCTATAATTTTACTGATTTTTTAAGTTTTCAGTACTTTTTTTATTCTTATCTCCAACTTTATGATTTTATTGCTCAGCCTAGCGTAGGGGTTGTTCAGACTAAGTGTGTGGGGAACGTATTATCCTGATTTCATACTCAGCCAAATTGTTTGTTTATTTGTTTGTTTCCTTGTTTTTTTTTTTTTGCGCGCGCGTGTGTGTGTGTGTGTGTGTGTACATTAAATGGTACGTGCTCCGGTAAGTCACATATGCCCAAAGACGGCACACGCACATACATTGTATACCCACTAGCAAAGTCATGCGCAGACAATGAGTGACAGGCAAATAATAAGCTTTTCTCTTCTAATATATATTTGGCTGAAAAAAAAATCGGCTCTACTGCGTCTTGGCTGTACGATTCCAAAGTCCTACCCTGGCATATATCTTCACGCCAGACACATATGGCATATTAAGGGTTATGACATTTTGGCAAACCTTTGTCCGTGTGTCATAAATCGATGGGCTTTTATTCAAAAGTATTGAAAAGGGATATAATTTGTTTTAGTTCTTAAAAATGGCCACCCTAAACTGAAAATTCGAATTGACTATATACTTAATAAGTATAAAAAAAGTCAAAATATTTCAGAAGCTTTATTTTTCAATTCACTAATTATAGGACTTATGTATTTTTAATGAATTTAACAGTTTAAAGCGATTGCATAACATGCAAAGTTACAAATAAAATCGAATTAAAAACAAGTTCCAGAATATATATATATATAAATTATATAAATATATATATATACAAATTTTAGAAATTTCGAAGGTTCTAGAAATAAGTTTAATCATAAATGTATATATATATATATATATATATATATATATATATATATATATATATATACACGATTTTAGGAATTTCGTGTTCGGGATCAAAAAATAAATTGAGTTAAAACCTTCTTTATTATTTTTTAATAAGTTTAATCGAATTAAATGTTTATTTTACAAAAATGTAATATCCCTATATATATATATATATATATA